TCACAACATTCAGGATGGGTCTCCCCGAGTTAGTATGCTCTGGAAACACACAAAGAAGAGCTTCCCTAAAACCCTAGGCACCTCTTTTATTGGTATCACTGTCATATGAGTTTGTTTCTAGATGATTTTGTATGTGTGCACAATGTTTACTGATTCTCACTCCCCCACCAAAGATTTTGGTGACTGTGGTCTTGGATAAGCCCTACCATTCCTTGGCTGGTCACTGGGGTATGTGCCGAAAAGGAGCCCAAGGATCCGTCTTCATTCTTCATAAGCAGAATGATGTATGCAAGGCCAAAAGAAGGTGTGTTGAAACTTGTGGAGACTTTACCAGGCTGGTAACCCACTACAGCAAAAGTATCAACATGTTCTAAGATGTTGACAATATTCAGGGCCTCGAAATGTAATGTTCACGTTGTTCAGGGTGCACACCGTGTACCCAGTGTACAAGGTACTGTGAGACGTTCAATTCTCCTTGGAAAAGACAATCAGTAGATGCTGCTGACCAGATTTCACAGATGCCAGAACTCTTGGGGCCTTTAAAGAACTTTAAAGTGACTGAATGAGTAAATGTACCCTTCATGTTGATGCATGCATGTGTGTATGTGTCTGTGTGTGTACATGTGTATGAGTGTGTGTTGAGTATGTGACTGTGTATGCAGTATATGTGAGTGTGTGTATGTGTCTGTGTATGTACATGTCTGTGTATATATGTGTCCATCTGTGTGTGTATGTGTGTGTGCGTGTGTGTGTGTCCATCTCTGTGTGTGTGTCTATGTGTGTGTGTCTGTTGCTGAGGATGGAACCCAGGGCCTTACACATGCTAGACAAATGCTTTGTCCCTTAGCTACATCTCTGGCTTACTCTTTACTTTTTATTTTGAGACACAGTACTGCTAAGTTGCCTTGAGCTCACCATCCTCCTGTTTCAGCCTCCCAAGTAGCCAGGATTTTAGACCCGTGCCAGCAGCTACTGGACAGTTCCACATCTTTAACACTGAGTAAGCCCCTTAAAAAAACACCAGTGAATTCTTTTTCTTCCTATGATAGTGTCAATACTTTGAGCTTTAGAAAATCAGTAGAAAAAATATTAATCTATTTGCTTATTGTGTTGGGGTGTGCAAATGGTGTAAAGTCTGTGGAGATTAGACCATGAGAGCCGGTTCTCTCTATGCACTGTGAGCCCCAGAGATGGAATTTGCATCATCTGATTAGGTGGTAAGCAACCTTACTCTTCTGAGCCATCCCATTGGCTCCTTTCTGGGTTTGACTGGAGCAAAAGAAATGAGGCTGAGCATGTCATGGGGGAGGGGAGGGTGCACTCTGGAGTGTAAGGGGAGGGTGCACTCTGGAGTGGAAGTGTAAGGGGAGCGTGCACTCTGGAATGTAAGGGGAAGGGGAGGGTGCACTCTGGAGTGGAAGGAGAGGGTGCACTCTGAAATGCTCTGTCACCCTACCACGTCCCTCATGCATGATATCAGCTCTCTAGGTAGCCCCCTTCCAACTTCCTGGGCTTGGTTGGGAGGACTTGATCACATCCCTGTGTGTGTTTTACTTTTCTGATAAAATTGCTTCTCAAGTCGATCCATAAACTTAGTGGATGTGACCCTGAGAACTTTTTGCTGACAAATCCATTATACAAATATTTAGTGAGTCCAGACACTATGATAAGGGATGGGAATTAAATAAAACAGACAAAAAAATCCCTGCTCTTATGAGACTGGTACCCTAGTAGGCAAGATGAAGCAAGCAATCAATTAATGTACAGTGTAATCCTGAGGGGGAAGGAAGCAGAACAGAAGGAAGCACGGGGCGGGGGGAGGCTGTGTATAGAGGATAATCTGAGCTGAGGTAGGGCTGAAGGATCTGGAAGGTCCTGCCATGCTTTGTGTGTGTGTGGGGGGGGTGAGCCAAAGACAAGTCCTGAGGTGGGACTGAGGGCAGTGTTGGGGGGGATGATGAAGAGGGCAGGGAGGAGGGGGAGGGGCGGGTAAGAGATGGCTGGAATGGAGACAATACTGCCCGGGAGAGGTGCTCTGTTCGGTGGGCTCAGGAAGTGGTTGGGGATCTAGGGCAGACGCTGTAACCCCAGGCAGAAGAAAGTCGCAGCAAATCTTTTTCACATTCAATAACAAAAAAATGTGCAGAACCTAGAGCCCAGGGGAAATTAGTGAGGCCACAGCTCTCTCTTTGCTTGGCTTCTGCTGTATTTACCTCCAGGACGAGCAATAACTTGAAGGTACCAGGAAAAGATATTGAATGTACAGAGAAACAAAGGCGAGGGAGTAAGAATCTTTCCTTTGGCACTTGTTATGTCTGGTCTTATCAGTTTATGAGATTTAGAACCACCATTTAGAGAGACAACTCTGGGTATGTCTGTGAGGGTAGGTTTGGAAATATTTAACTGAGGAGAGAAGATTCACCCTAACTGTTAGTGACATCACCCAGCAGACTGGGCCCCTGAACTGAATGGAAAGTACAAAGCAAACTGAAGAGTGGTCTTCCTCCCTCTCTGCTTCCTGTCTATGGATGCAGGGTTCTCAGTCAGCTTCTGCTGTTACCGCCATGGCCGCTCCACCCATGAGACTGGGTCCTCAAACTGGGGGAGAAGCAGTCAATAGAATGAGGCCCCTCTCTGGTGCCTCGCCCATGTGTTTGGTGCTTGGCACCTGCCTTAAAGTCCATCATCTCTGTCGTTCTTTAGACCCTACTGATGTGTCTATAAAAACATAAGGGAACATATCCTAAAATCAACTGATTGCTGATCTGGGGCAGATTACTCCAAGTATTGGCTTTGTTGTTCTTATTGACACAGGAGCCACCTGTGAGTCCCTTCCCAGGCCACAGTTCCTGACAGACTCCATTGTCCTCTGAGATGACCGCACTTCCTCAATGAATGAGTTATACAACATCACTGAGATGTCTTGGTCTTACAGCTCCAAGAGTCATGTGTGGCTTTATCTTTCAAAACTTAGTGTTCACATGTGGGACGATTCAAAAGGCATTAATTCAGATCAGTTTTCCATTCACTGGGTATTGTGGGCTTTGTGTTCAATTCTGAGTCCTTCATCCACCCCCACGACTCACACATTTGCACACTGGGTGTGATCTCATCCCACCCCACCCCCATGCTTGGTGGGTGCTAGAAACATAGACCTACACATATTTCTGAATGAATTATGGTACGGTAGTTACCGTTCCCCTCTCTGTGACCAAAGCAACTTCAGGGAGAGAGGATTTATTGTGGCTCGTGGTTTAAAGGAGCACAGTCCTTCACGGTGAGAAATAGATGCTGGCGGCGAGAGCATCAGGAAGTAGAAGTGGACACTGGTGCTCTACTAGCTTTCTCCTTTGATTTAGTTTGTGATCCCAGCCCATGAGATGGTGCTCCCTGTGTTTAGTTAATGGTGCTCCCTCTTTAGTTAACCTTCTCTGGAAGTGACCTTGCAGACATTCCGCGTCTCCAAGTGATTTCAAATTCGATCAAGTTACCAATGAAGACAGACTTCCCGTGAAGCACATGGGAATTGGAGGATTAATCTATGAGGCAGTATCAGAGAGCAAATTGTTGGGACTGAATGAGGTGGGAACCCTGGGAGGTGACAGTGTATTGTGTTATCCAGTTGGGTCTTAATTGTATTCTGAATTCTAACTTCTGCTCAGGTTAAAGATTGCTCCCAGCGTGTCTTCCTGGGGTCACCAGAAGAGCTTTCTCTGAGTCCCTTTTCTACCACTGAAGGAACAGAGTATCCCAGTGGGCCGTGGGGGACTGGGTGGGTCTACTGAGATATGGCACAGATGGGGGCCTCAGTCAGGAGATCTGGGAAGCTGCGTTGTGGGTGGCCGTTCCTTGATCACCTCTGGATGTCTCTGATGCCCACAGAGAATGATCGGATCAGCTCCTGTGCTGGATGACAGGAGTCCCCCAGCATGCCCCCTGATTGACAGCACTGTGACAGGGTTCCCAGCATGCCGTCTGATTGACAGCACTGTGACAGCCCCCCAGCATGCCCTCTGATTGA